AAAGCAAGGGGTGTCTCTTTTATTTTAATCTGCAGAGGAATTTAGCAACCGTGGCATTTGTTTTTGCATTCTTGTGTTCTTTTTCTTCTTCTTTGTGCTTTTTTTGTTTTGTTTGGTCTTCTTACTTTTCTTCCTCCTCCTTTTTTTCTCCTCCTCTGCATTTTTTTCTTTCTAATTTTTATCCTAATTTTTATTGTTATGAATACCAGAAAAAAAAGAAGAAAGTTCAAAGGTTGCATTTTTGTCACGAAATTTTCAGTGTCACACTAATCAATATACTCACTCTCCTCCTTTTTTTGTGTTTGTTACTCTCGATTAACACCTAGTCTTCGTCACTTATATGACCTTGTTGTGTTGCAAGTGCCGTAAATTCTTACTAAAACAAAAAAACTCTTACTAAAACAAAACTAAAACCACCCCACAGCTGGACAACGGGATCCCCATCGAGAGCTGGTTTGTGGACCGAGACGACACCGAGCTACTCAAGGTTCTGCCCTTCCTGGAGGAGCTCCGCGTCAAGGTGAGGAAATTCCCCCCCTCTCCCCCCTCGCAGTTGGAACATGTTATCGGAAAGTGTTGTACTCACGTCATTTGTCAGAGCTTCCAGTCTTCCGCAAATTTGCGGAAATCCCGCAAATGGAAAAATCTCCGTGAAAATGCGCGGGGGGGGGGGATTAAAAGACATTTCCGCTAAATATTGCGAATAAGAAAAAAGGCGCAATAAAAATTTTCCGTAATTCCTTTTAGTCACCAATTGCCAAGCCATACCGGAAGTGCTCTTTTATATGAAAGTGTAGACAGTGTCTTTCACTTCCCCTTTGGTTGTTTATCTACTTCCTTTGTTCTCAATTCTCAGTCTCAGTGTCTGCCCAGAACAACACGCGTACAAGACGCGTGGTTCAAATGTTTATCTGGTGCTAAATGATGTAGATTTAGTTTGAAATTGTGTTTATTTCAATATTCCTGATCAAATGTGGTTCAAACGTTTATCTGGTGCTTAATCATGGAGATCTAGGCTAGGAGTGTTAAATTTATCTGCTTTCTACGGCACTTGCAACACAAAGATGGACAGAAAGAGAGAGAAAGGAGGAAGATGGACAGAAAGAGAGAGAGAAAGGAGACAGAGGAAAAGAGAGGAGAGAAAGGAGAGAGCACAAGAGAGAGACACGGAGAGGACAGAAAGAAAGAGGAGAGAGCATCTAGAATCTAGATAGTCTCCCATTTCCTGAAGGGAAACTAGAATGTTCATTTTCCTTATATGGGTTGTATAATAGTTGTAAAGCGCATAGATCGTGCTCTTGAGCATGGATATGCGCTATACAAATGCAAAATTATTATTAGTATTATTAATGCCTCAGATTGGCTCCTTCTTTCTTATCAAACATCTATCATCTTCGTCTCTCACTCTCTCCTCCTTTTTTTGGTATGTTGTTAGTTCTTCCAGTAGCACCTTTCGTCTTTGGCAACAATGTGATGTAACTGCTTGCAAGTGCCGTAAAAACTTATCTAAAATGCCTTACTGTTATGATAGGTTCTGTTGTTCGTCTTGCCTAACTGATAGATGTGTAAACTATGACCGCGGGCGGTTGGCGGGTGCTCTGGTGTGGTTTGCTTCTTCTTATCTTTCCTATCCAACGTCTATCATTCTTATCTCCCCTTCTTTTTTATGTTTGTTACTCTCTTGTAACACCTCTAATATTCTGGCGCTCATATGACCTTATGCAGTTGCGAGCACCGTAAAACCTCTACTAAAAAAAAAAAAAACCCAAAAAACTATGACCGTTTGCGGGTGGTTGGAGGGAGCCACTGGTAGATCCTACTTCTTCTCTTCCTCTCTGTTGTTTCTTTCTTTCTTTTACCTTGCACTATATGACCTTCATTGTGTTGATGAGCTTCTTTGCACTTTGTACTCAAACTGAAACGATGACTATACCCCCCGGGGCAGTGCCACTGACTGTAGTGTCTTTAGGCCATTCCCAAAGGGGGGACATTTCTCGTTTAAGCACACTAGAATTGTAAATGGGCTGATACATCATGTCACGCTCTGAACTGTGCCTGATCTACAACAGGGAACTGCTGCTTTTTCTTTCCTGATCCTTACTATTGTCATTTCCCTCTACTTCTTTTGTATGTTTGTCATTCTCTTGTGACCTGCTATTTCTGGGGTGCCTTGATGGTCGAAGCAGACCTTGTGCTGTTGAAGCTAGAGAGGTGAGCAGAGTAAGTCTGATTCCCTGTAAGGACTTCTCTGTTGACAT